GCGCCACGGCCACGCTGTTCCAGAGCCAGCTGCGCTCGCCGCGCGTGCTCGGGGACCCGCTGCTCCTGGATCTCGCGCACGACCGCGAGCCACCGCCCTACACGCCGCCGCCCATGCTGAGCCCTGCGCGCCAGGGCTCGGGGCTCTTCAGCAGCATGCTCCTGGGGGGCCACCTGGGCGGCTCCTGCGCGCCCCCCACCCTGCCGCGAACCCCGCTCACACCCACGCCGCGGGTGCTGCTCTGCCGTCTCAGTGAGTGACTTGCACGCCGGGCGGGTGGGTCCCAACAGCCCGCCGAGCAGGCCGGCTTTCTTGGGGTGTGTGGGCTAGCAGGCGAAGATCAATGTGCACCCTCCAAGAAAACTCAGGTACAGAGTACAGCGAGCTCCTACCATCGAAATTACGTGGGTAATGGCAGAAGACTTTCCCTACTAAGTTCAATCCCCGGTTCCGCAAAAAAAAAAAAAAAAAAAAAAGACTTTCCCAAGAAATGCTCTTAGTAAATACAGGAACAGGGTTGGGGGCTATGTTCAGGCCTTGATGTTTCAGTGTGCTTCCTAAAAATTCCCCATAATCTTGGGCCTGGGTGGTGCTGGAATCTATAACTTCTGGCTCTCTGGAGACTGAGGCAGGAGGCTCTCAAGTGTGATCAGCTTACCTAGACCTTATTTACAATTTTTTTTTAACAAACAAACAAAAAATAGCTGGGGTGGGGGCAGGGAGATGGCTCAATGGAATAAGCGCTTCTATGGCAAGCTCAAGGGCCTGAGTTCAGTCCCCGGTTCCGCAGAAAAAAAAAGTTGGGGATGGACCTTAGTGTAAAAAAGGCCCAGGGTTCAGCCCCCAGCGCTGCCAGAATAAAATAAAAATTTTAAAGAGTCAAACCTGAGCACGGTGTCGCTTCCCCCTACTTGGGAGGTTTAAAGCAGGAAAATTTCAAGACCAGCCTAAGCAAATTAAGACACCCTTCACCTTTTATTAGACAGGGTCAGTTCACAGTGTAACCGAGGCTGGCCTCAAACTGGCAATGATTCTCTTACCTCTGTCTTTCTAGTGCTAGGATTTCAGGCATGTCCCAGTTATTGTTTAGGACCAGGTTTTTTGTTTGTTTTTTTAGATAGAGTCTTGCTATGTAGTTCAAGCTGGCCTTGAACTCACTGTATAGCCCAGGGTGGCCTCAAACTTGCAGTTATCCTCCTGCCTCGGGCTCCTGTATGCTGGAGGATCAGCACCACCACACCTGGCTCAAGACCCCATTTTAAACCTAAATAAATGCTGTGGGCGACCTGTATCCAGGATCGCTTTTTGCATAGAAACAACAGAGCCTGGCAGGCCAGTGTGGGGCAACTGGCTTCTCACCCTGTGTGAGAAATGAGTGGCCCTGAGCCATTTAGCACCAGGTTGCATTCCTCTTTCTGGGGACCAAGATAGGTTGGAGACAAGAAGAGACTGACAGAACTGCTTAGCTCACTGCCCATTTGCTTTAATTTCTTCAGCACCCCTTCCCTGTTGGCCAGTGACTTCTGGTTTTTGTGTTTCAGACAGTATTGATGGCAACAATGTGACGGTCACCCCTGGGCCTGGAGAGCAGACTGTGGATGTTGAACCGTAAGGAAAAGCCAGTTATTGTTTAGGACCAAAGCCTTGGTTGAGGATGGGATCGGGAGAAAGGCAGTCTGTTCTCTCTTAGTCATAGTGGTCATTGAGAGAAAAATTGTAGAAATTATAAGGTCACCATGTTTTTTGGGTGTTTTTATTTCCTTCTATTTTACATTTCAAAGTCTTGGCCAAAGTCTAAATATAGTCAAAACTCTGGTTGTAGAGAACCTACCATCCCCTTTTTTTGTCCCACAGGCCAGCCTGAGTAGGCCATGTGCTTTCACATCTCTGGGGCATTGAGGCATCTCTCTTGGGTTGCCCAACTTTCAGAGGCTCCTTGCCAGGCATGGTGGTGCATGCCTGTAATCCCAACACTTGGGAGGCTGAGGCAGGAGGATCTTCAAGAGTTCAAGACCAGCCTGGGGTACATAGTGAGTTCAAGGCCAACCTGGACTACACAGGGAGACCCTGTCTCAAAAAAAAGGCTCCTCTGAATGCCCTTGTTTCCCTTTCCCATTCATTCATTGTCAGATTCTTGGCCAGTCTTCCTTGAATTTTGTGTGAGTAGTGGGAGGGACAGTAGTCACGCTCTTCTATGGGTATGTTCAAGACCTTCAGTGAAAGCCAATAGTGCCAAACCTTGTATATAATAAGTACTCAGTGCTCCCATAGTCTTATCTGATAGCCAAGAGAGCCACCAAGTGATAACAGATGGGCATCATGAACAGCATGGATACTTTGGACAAAGGGATGATTCATACCCGTGCAGAACAAAATAGAGAATTCACTTGAGATTTCATTATGCTACCCAAAATGGTATGCAATTAAAATGTATGAATTGTTTATTTCTGGAGCTTTCCATTTAATATTTTTGAAACTCGTTCTGTGTTTTTGTATTTGTGTTTTTGAGGCAGGGTCTCACTATGTAGTTGAGGCTGACCTTGAGCTCACTAGGTAGCCCAGGCTAGCCTTGCACTCATGGTGATCCTTCTGCTTCTGTCTCCTAAGTGCTAGGATTACAGGTACGTGCCACCGTGCCCTACTGGATCTTGTTTGACTGTAGGTAACTAAATCCATAGAAAGCAGAGCCACATATAAGGAGTCACTGCCATGTTATGGAAGGGAAGAGTGATTCTTTTTATGAAGAAGGATAGAAAATAGGCTACCTGGTAGAATGTTGAGTGTACTGATTCAGGAATCAGAAGACCAGTCCAGGCATGGTGGTATATACCTGTAGCCCTGAGGCAGGAGCATTATTACCACAAGTTAGAGGCCAAGCCAAACTCCATAGTGAGACTCTGTCTGAAAAAGAAAAGGGGGGGGGGGGAGTGGGAATCAGAAGACCTTCTATTAAATGGGAATAATTTACTGCCTTCTTTACATCACCAATTTTTGGAAAGCTCAGATGGGTTGACGTATGTGAAAGGATAAAAATAAATACTTCATATTTGTTGTGGCTCCCCTCACCCTTCCACCCCCCATTACATGGTACCATGGGCAATCCTCTGGAAAGCTGTTCTTTTGGAATGAGCTGCCTGTTCATACCAGTTACAGGGAATATAAAGCCCAAGTGAGCTGTTCCCACAACACTTCCTCTAGCCTTAGAAGTAAGCCATTCCTTATCTCAGTGAAAAGCCTGTGCCTGGAATCTTAGGGTCACATTGTAAGGAAATGCCCCTGTGTTCTTCTTGCAGAAGGAACTAGCTTCCTCCTTTTGCAAATTCCTGACAGTTGCCCTTGGCCTAGGTGATCAAATGGAGAATCGCTCAATTGTTTTTCTTTTTGTTTATTTAAAGACGCATCAACATTGGCTTACGATTTCAAGCAGAGATCCCAGAACTTCAAGATGTCTCTGCCCTGGCCCAGGACACACACAAAGCCACACTAGTATGGAAACCCTTACCAGAGCTGGAAAATCAAGATCTCCAGCAACAAGGTATTGGCACATGGGAGGAGCTGGGCAGGTGGGCAAGGCTCGCGTCTCTCTCTGGGACCTCTGGCTGCAGGACTAGCATTGTTTTCCATTATACTGAGCTCTCTCTGATGCAGCTGCCTATCCTTGTTCCCAACAGTGGAGAATCTTCTGAATTTGTGCTGTTCAAGTGCACTGCCGGGTGGAGGAACCAATTCTGAATTTGCCTTGCATTCTCTTTTCGAGGCCAGAGGTGATGTGATGGTAAGGATCATGAAATGGAGTCTTTATGGTGGGGTCCATACTCTTCACACAAGAATCTGGTATAGTGCTTCCCAAGTGTCTATGCCATCCCATACTCCATGCAAACAATTCCTAAAGTCCATGGCTCATCAACACCTGCCATGTTTGTTTGTGATTTCAATGAGCAGGTCAAGACATAACAGCCTACAGAAAAGCATTTCCTGTTACTCCTGTTTACCCATCTCATCCTGAGTTTGCTGTGGACACATCTGTCCTGGGAAATTAGTTCTTCTTCTGTCTTATGTTTCATATCAGAAAACTGAGTCTCTGCTTGCCGTGGTGGCACATTCCTATAATCCCAGCACTTGGGAGGCTGACATAAAAGGAATAGTTGGGAGTTCGAGACCAGCCCAGGCTACAAAGTGAGCTCAAGGCTAGCCTTAACTACATGGTGAGATCCTGTCTCAAAAAAAAAAGACAGAAAACTGAATCTCCAGTGATAGAAGTAGAAGGCTTTCCTGACACGAGTTGGCCTAAAGCAGCCTGGCACACAGCTAATGCCCTGCCCCAGTATGGCAGTAAGCCATAGCTAAATGTTTATAGAACTTTTCTAACACACATGGAGTTACTGTTCACCCACCAGCTTCATTTTAACACAGTTCTGCACATGTTCCCAAACCAGAGCCTTGGTGGTGTCTTCCCAGAACTACAGCTGACCATTTGCCTGCTTAGCCTGGACTTCTGGCCACATCACTTCATCACTAACCTCAGTTTCCTATGTGCGAATACATGATTCTTCTTGGTACTAGATCCAGATTCCTGCTTTTAGATTTTGTGGAAATAATCACCCCTGTCTCAGTTACTCTTTTCTCATTGCTGGGACAAATATTTGACACTCAAAATTAGAGAAGGAAAGGTTTATTTAGCTCACAGTCAGTGAAGATTTTATTCTGTACTCAGCTGAATGGCACATGGCAGAGAACAACCGTTCATGGCAGTGGCACAGAGCAAAAGGAGTGGCAGCATCTCAGGCAGCTAGTCTCTCCTTACATTGTAACGTAGAGTATCTGTCCTGGGGTACCCACACCCATAATCCCAGCATTGGATCAAGAATCAGTCACAAACTCCAGAAGCCACCCCACAACTGCATGAGGCTTTGGGGGGATGACTAGACACAAACCATAACAGCCCCAATACTTCAATATTGTTCAAGTATCGTCTAGAAGGTTATGGAACATTTTCTTTTTTTCTTTGACAGAACTTCTCTTAACCCTTGGAGATCAGTGTTCCAGAATAGCAGATCTCAAACTTAATGTGCACAGTCAGCTAGTGAATCTTGTTAAAAGGCTTCTTCCGGTTCAGCAGATGTGGGTTGGGCCAAGAATCTACATTTCTAATTAGCTCCCAGGAGATGCTGGCTTCACAGGTCTGTGGACCACACTTGAAGTAGTGAGATGAGATTCTTGGCCTTTCTCAGTCTACTGCACAACTTTATCTGTAGCATTTTTTAAAAAATCCAAGGTGGCTGAGAGAGTCATATTTGAAAGGGTTAAATTGGTGAGGTTCTGTGGAAGGACAGGGTGTGGTGGAATTACTACTAACACAGCTGTTTATGTTCAATTGTGATGAGACATAATTTTTTCTGTAAAACAATTATGAATCACCCACTCGTTCCTTGGATTCCTTCCCCAGAGATTCAGCCTCCACTCAAAGGAGGCCCCACCTCTCTGTGGCTGGTGGGCCCTTATCAAGGCAGCAGTATGTTATCTTCTCATCTCTGAGACAAAATAACTGAATGAACCTAAAGAAGAAAAGATTTATTTTGGCTCGGTCTGAGGTTCCAGGCCCTGGTCAGCTGACTGTAGTATGTCAGCCTGTGATCCTGCAGAAGGTCATAGCAGGAGAGTATAGCAGAGCAAAGCTGCTCACCTCATTGGGGCTGGAAGTAGAGAGAGGAAGAGCCAGTGGGCCTGTGCTATGGGGATTGCCCTGCTTTTCTTTGACTCAGGCCCTCACACTATTGGTCACACTATTGGATGGTGCCATCCACATTTAGGGTAAGTCTTCCCACCCATTTGCTGTCCCACATGCTAGTCATCTTTTGGGAACACCCATACAAACACAAGCGGTAGTGTCCTTTACTACTTTTCTACGTGTTTATCCAATCAAGTTGACAGTCAGGATTAACCATTACAAGGAGTCAGGTCTCCGTCACCACCTGAGTTTTTCACTGACACAACCAGTTGGCTTCAGGTGTGGGATAGGGAGGGTGTGCAGAACTGAAAGGAAGCCTAAATTAGGGTGGTTTCCTTCTGGTTTTCTGTCCAGTGCCAGCCCCCAGGATTTCCCCTTTGACTAGATGATCTCCCTAGGACACACAGACCTTTCACTGATGCTTGCTTTTCTCTCTTCTGAATCTATAGGCAACTCTGGAAATGCTGCTGCTGGAGAAGCCAGTCAGGTTAAAATGTCACCCTCTAGCAAATTACCACTATGCCGGTAAGTTGCCAGGAGGCCTTATGCCCTGTTAATTCTTGCAAGCAGGCTACTTGTGTCTCTGGCTGTGTTTCTTCTCAAAAACAGACAACAAGGGGCCGGGGAGATGGCTCAGTAGAATAAACGCTTGCCTTGTAAGCACAAGGGCCTGAGTTTAATCCCCGGTTCTGGAAAAAAATAAATAACAGACAGCACTGGTTCTACCCTGATCATCACTTGTTTTTGTTTTTGTTTTTGTTTTTTTGCCTAACCGGGGATTGAGCTCAGGCCCTTGCGTGTGCCAGGGAAGCGCTTATTCTACTGAGCCAGCTCCCTGGCTCCATCCAATCATCACTTGTGACCAAGGCCTTATAAAGCATAGCTGGTGGGTACATTTGTGTCTGTTGCTCCACCACTGCTGGACGTTTGACTGATGACCTGCCTTCGTGGGTGCGGTGAGGCTTGGGTGGTCTTGGGTGGTGCCTAGTTAAGTGCTGGTAAGACCTGTGCACTGGAAGAAAGATCACAGAGTGTACCATACAGAGTGACAACAGTAAGCATTTCACATGACTTTAGCATCAGTAGAGGTGGATTTGGATCTTGACTGTACTCTTGGCCTTCTATCACCTTCATTTTTCTTTTTGAAAGAAGGGTTGTATTCCATCCCTCATAGGGATTTTGTAAAGATGATAGGTAGTCCATGGAGCCCAATGCATGGCATATCCTGCTGGCCATTGTTTTCATCTGTTCAGTTGTAACTGTTTGTACAAGTCATATACTTTACCACTGAGCTGCAGCAGTGGCTGACACAGACATGAAATCTAGAGTAGGAAGATGTAGAAGTTCTCTCTAATCTGCCATGGGAATAGTTGCATCTTCTTTTAATTCCCAGCATCATCTGCTGCCCATTAAATCTGACAGGCTATCCAGCCTCTTGTTCCTGTCCCAAGCATCTCTGCATAGTAGGTGAGACAGTGGACTGCAGCTTAGAGTCTAAAGAGGCAGTTATTGAGCAACGACTCATTCTGAGTGCAGCAGAAAGCCTTCGTACTGGAGGGCCTGATGAGCCTGTGGATTATGATAGCACTACCAGTAAGAGGGAAGTGGAAGGCACCTTTGAAGTTCAAATGGATGGGATACATGAAGAGAGAAGGAAGCAGGTTGGGGAGCCCTGAGAAGGGACAAATGAAGTGGAGTCACTGTTTCTATTAACTCTGCTCAGCCTGTCCATTCTGAGGTCTCCACAGTCCTGCCAGTTCTGTGTGTCAGAAGATCTGAATCCTCCAGCACCCCTTGACTTTTAATCATTGGAAGTTTTCTTTGGTTCTTTGAGCAGATGCTGCCTAGGTAAATGCTAGATCTGTTCCTTATCTAGGTGACTAGATGTGCCCAAAGGTGAGAGTTTCTTTACAGAGCCTGCAGAGTTCACTGCTTGTACCATTTAGCATGCTCCTCTTCACTCGTAAATCAGTCTTTCTGTCACCACCAGGTAGAAAGGCCTTGAAGCCACTCACCAAGCATAACATGCCCAGGACTGTCTGTCTATAGGTCACTCTCAGTAACTAGAACTAGGTAAGCACAAAATGGACAAAGAGCGCAGTCGTTGGACCAGTGGCCTAAAGGAGCCAGTTTTGCAATGTATTATCTCCATCATTTCCTGCTTAAGTTGTCCCAAGAGTGGGTAGGAAGATGGGGGAGACCTCTCTAATCTTCCATGGAAACAATTGCATCGTGTTTTTAATACCCAGTATCATCTGCTGCGCATTAAATCTGACCAGCTGTCCAGCCTCCCATTCCTTGTCCCAAGTGTCTTTGAATAGTAGGTGTGACATTGGACTGATGAAAAGCAGCTTCTCAACCCTGACCTGTAGATAGAATGGCCAGGCCCTTGGGGTTGGTCACATCCAGCTGTGAGCAGCTTCATCTGGGACACAGTTTCCCTTAGTTCTTCCATTGTGTCAAACAAGTAGATTATTTTCATGTGCATTATAACATGAAAAGGACTGGAGAGCTATGGACTAGAAGCCCCATACAACTCCAAGCAAAACAAAACAAAAAATGTATCAACAGTATATTACCAAGAACTTTGGAACTAGAGGATCCTAAACTCTGCTAACATAAATTGACCAGTTCTGGTGGTGCATGCCTGTAATCCCAGCACTTGGGAGACTGAGGCAAGAGGATGGAGAGACCATGTCTCAAAAAAACCCATGAAAAGTGAATTGGTCCTTTGAGGTTCAGGTCCTAGTGAATCTCTTACCTGCGCTCTTCTTCCCAGGCAGACCAGGAAACGTCCATTTTCTAGAATCATTTTATCCCTGGGGAATCAGAGGTGGAGCTGAGGTATGAACAGTTAGCACCTCCAGGAAACGAATACTCACTTAGGCCTTGCAGTCGTTTTGCCTTCTCTAGGAAGTGAGTGAAGACAAGGTTCCAGAGAATCTTCTAGACTATAAACAGAAAGGGCAGAGGTCACGGGTCTATAAAGTCTGACCCAGCTTCATGCTCTGAGCCAGTCCCCTCCAAGCTACAGGGGAGGCAGCAGAGTCCACCCCAGCACTTGTCCAGGCCACCAGCTATTGTGTCCTGATCCCCTTATTAGGATCTTGGGTGTCAGTGAATCCCAGCTGTCATATCCCCAGCCTGCCTTGGTCTCTCTACCAAAGTCCATCAGGCCCTCCAGTAGGACCGTCCGTCCTGTGCTGGCCTCACTGCGATATGTCTCCTAGAATGCCATGGGCTTCCCACTCTGTGGCTGAGGCTGGTATCACTGCACCTCATAGCCCTAAAGTGGTACCTTATGCTGCCAGTTGTCTAGAAAAAGAGGTGCAATCTTCTGGGTGTATCTGCCCTGGAGGGAAAGCAGCGGACTGAGCTCAGGGACAAGGCTGAAACGTGGTAGAAAAGAGACACAGGCTTCTGGAAACGGCTTCCTTCCTTTACTCATTATCTTCTCTTCCTGCGCCACCCCAAGCAGTTCCATAGAAAAAGGAAAGTGACTGACGCTGGGACCCAGAAGAGACATGCTAGGGGGGTAAAGGACTAGTGCATGAGCTACTTCCATATCTTAGGGCTGTTTGTCCCAACCCTGTGAACCCTGAACAGGATCTTCAGAGGAGGGTGCTGCCTCAGTGGCCCCTGACACTTAGTTTGCCCCACCCCTGTGAGACTGGTGGTTGCTTACAGTGGTTCCCAGCTCACACCTACATTTGCTAAGGAAAAGTAGAGCAGGACTGATCAGGGTGGGGACTGCCTCCTTAGGATTGGACAACTTTTAGCAGCCTCGGTTTATCCATTGACCTGGTCATTCTGCAGGTGAGTGCAGAGTGAGGGGTGTTAGATTTGGCCCAATTTCTTGGCAAGGGTTCATCAGAGATTGCTATCAGCTCCCACCTCAGCCACGGCTCTTAGTGGGACATGAAATACTGCCCTGAGCTCCTGGAGCTGAGGGAACCCTGAAGAAAATACCTGTTCCATGGGGGGAGGCCTGGACTCTGCCTTCGAAGCTGCCCTGGTGTGATGAGGGGACAGAGGTACATACTCAAGTATTTGGCAAGAAATGCGACTGTAATTTCACTTTCCAGTCATCCTTGGCACCTGTCTCTTCCTCTCTTGTCTTGCCTGATGCAATTCGTGTTAAAAGAAAAAAGTTTACTGGACAAGTTTAAAATATGAGATCAGATTGAGGCCTCCCTCATTTTTGCCCCAGAGGCAAATTTAGTAGTAGGCTGTACCACCCTGCACCTCCAAAAAATTAATCTTCACTCACTCTTGAAAACCCTCTTTGAAAATGAAGATCTTGTACAGAAACAGCCCTCCTTTTTCTGTAATGAACCTGTCTTTCTGGGGTAACTACAATAACGTTGGTAAAAGTTTAGGTTTTTTTTTTTTTTTTATATTATTATTATTCTGAAAGGAACACAGAAAGGCCTTCTAAAGGATACTGTGCCCAAACTCTCTGTCCCCCTTCCATATCTCTTTTTAATTGCTTGAGTTCACTGTGGATTGCCCCAAAATTAGCCACAGTCCAGAGCCTGTTTCCCAGCAACCAAAGCACAAAGCATTTTTTTCTCTGGATACTGTTCCAGCACCAGTTTCATCCAGTTAATTAGGCTCTTTGTCATTAGCCTTAATCGGCTTGTTAGGGGCCCCTGCTGATAATAGCCCAATAGCCAGGAATCCCAGGTGGAACAAATGAGGCTAGGGGGTTGTCAGCCCACCGGCCCCACATGCCTGCTGAGTGTGCTGCAGGGATCCTACCCAGAAAGGAAGGGCAGAGAGAGGACAGGAGAGGGGAGGATTTAAGCCAGCCCCCTGCCTTGGTTCTGTATTTTATCTTGAATTTTGTCCAAGATGCAAAATCCAAGAGCTAGCATAGAAGCTTGTCTGAGAATGAGAGAAGTGAGTGCCCTGTCTAACAGACTTCAGGAAAGAGTTGTCTGAGCTTTTCCTTGGCATTGAATTCCAGGCCACAGGAGTTGCTGTGGGATTGACACACAGGGAGCAGGTGCTGGAAGCAGCCGGCTTCAGAGGGACCTCAGAGCTCACACCAGAGAGGCAGTGTGTGGTCCAAAGCCCTGGACCGATTTGGAATCAGCTGTCCAAGTGGCCAGCAAAGATCCAGAGCATCTATTGAGCCACTATCCCTGTGTCACAGAGGGGGTCGCAAAGTCAGAGAAGTGACTTCCTGCAGTCACTGAGGGAGTAAAAGGAGAACCACATTCACAGCCTAAGGTCGCTTGGCTCATGTCACTCTTTGTATCATTGTATAGTGGTATTATTTGGGGGGGGCACATTCAGATATCACTGATCTGTGCTACAGTCCAGCCTGGCAGGTCAGTCCAGCAGGTCAGGGATGGAGTCTCAGCCCCTATGGGCATCCCAAGATGGAATCCCAGCTTCAGGATGAGAAGGGATCTGGCGTCTCACCTCACCTTGCTCTTCATCCACGGACTCTGTTGAACACACCTGGACAAAGCACTGTCCCTTATGCTAGAGCACAGATCACAGGACTCTGTTAGAGAGCCTACTCTTCCTTTCCAGGGCAGGCTCCATGCCCCAGACCCTGAAGCCTCAGAGAGAGAGGATGGAACAGAGTGGGAATGTGCAGCCCAAACCTCTGCAGTTGTGCACAGAACACACCCTGAGAGGTAGAAGATTGCATCACAGAGCAGCAGCCCCTAAACCAGAACAAGTCTTCTCCACCCATGAGATTTGAGAATCTCTCAGACAGCTAGGCCAGGAAGTTAATTGACTTTCTGTGGAGTTACAGCTGGCAAGCCACATGGAAGTGATAAAGGGACATGCCTGCTTGAAGTTGGAAGATCTGGGAGCTTGGTCAAGCTACTCTTTGGGCCAGCAGTCAGGTGGCAAGCCTGGCATGGTTGGAAGGAAGCATATTCACCACAGAGATAGTGTTGGCCTGAGCAAACTGGGCAGTCCTATAGAGCTGCACCAACATGGGAGACTAACCTGTTGTCTGGCAAAGGTTGGAAAGAATTATCATCGATCTAGTTGAAAGTTTCATCACAGTGTCTCCTGATATACCATCTGAGCTATAACTGAGGGCCACAAAAGATTAAAAGAAAAAAAAAAAAAACTTGTAAACCAAAGAAATAGAATAGTTGCACTAGGGTATAGAGATTTGAACTAATCCCCTATGGAAACTACATTATATTCTGAGTCTGGAGCCAGAGCGCTTGGCTTGAGGACCCATCAAAAGGACACACAGAAAAGCCTTTTATTTCAGAAATCCGAGTCTATATCATTGAACTATGTACTCCCTCAACGATGCCGGGATGTCTGCCCTCAGCCTCAGAAACCCTCTCCATGCCCAGAGAGATTTTCCGATTAGCTGATGTTTTGTTGAATCTTCCAAGGCAAGAGCCATTTAGGTTCCCTGTACTTCAACCCCAACACCTGACCATGGCAAAATGGAAACCTCAGACCTTCCCTGGAGAGAAGAGAAGATCCTGTGAACCAGGGGCTTCCATCTCTGAGAAGTGGGTGAATGCCAAGGCCTGCCCATATGCTTCCGAAGAGTCAGATGTGCAGAGTTCAGCAAGCTAGAAGAGTGGAGCTAAGATTTCTGAGCCTACAGTAGCTGTACTTTGCCTAGCACTGCCTGAAATAGCGCCATATAGGTTTTATATTGCTATAACCAAATTGCTGAGGCTTGGGGCTTGATAAGGAAAAGTTTACATAGTTGGAGGCCAAAGACAGTATGTCCCATTGTGCGAGCAGGAACCCCTGGCTGCATCACAGCATGGCAGGTGGTGTCCTGGTGGGAGTGAGCACAAAAGGGAAAGCTCACAGGAGACCGGAAGCCAGAGAGTGACTGGGGAGGGACAGCAGTGATCTCCTGTTCAGCCCCACCTCTTAAAGGTTGAGGAAAGCACTTCTGCTTATTTGTTTGTTTTTAGTGTATGTATTTGGTACAGGATCTCACTACACTACTGGGACTCAGAGTGATCCTCCTGTTTTCAGCCTCCCCAGTACTGGGATTATAGGCTTGTGCTGCCACACCCGGACTTGGTGGCCAGCTCAGTGCACCCAGGGGGTGGGGCCAGCGGGGCATGTGGTGCTAGGGATCAAACCTGGGTCCCTGGAGGAATGTACTTCTAATACATCAGTGCTAAGAGTATCCACTTAGGTCATATCCCAATTATAGATGCCCTTTGAATGCATATGTGTCTTGCTCTGTACAAGCCCCTGTCATTTGGCATTTCTTCTGTGTGTCCTGCTTCCTCATATAGAGGAGAAACATGAATCAAGTTACACCAGCGAGGTCAATATACCATTTCAGCAGTGCTGAACCTCTCTCATCAGCCTGCACATCTGCTACAATCTGATCCCTGACAGGCATGCCTATAATCCCAGCACTTTAGAAAGCTGAGGGAGGAGGGTCACAAATTCAAGCCCACCCTGAGCAGCTTACCTTGTTTCAGAATAAAAAAGTTAATTAAGAAATGGGATTGAGGCTGGCCAGATAACTCAGAGGATTAAAGCTCCTGCTTAGGCAGACAGAGGGATCAGGGTTTGATACCCAGTGTGCCAAGTGCTGGCCCTACCCTGGGGCATGCTGAGAGGCAATTAAGACTGGGCGTGGTGGCGCATGCCCGTGATCCCAGCCCTTGGAAGGCTGAAAACAGGAGGATCACCACGAGTTCAGTCTGTGTAGTGAGACCCTGTAGACCCTATACTAAATACATAAAAAGAAAAGAAAAGAAAAGAAATGGAGTTGTATGTTGGCGTAAGATCCCTGGGCTTAATCTTCAGGAGTAGGGGCAAGAAAAAAATACCTCTCTGGCCTCGTTTGCTTCTCTCTGCTGGAACTCTGCATTGAGCCATACTGGAATTTGTTCTTGCAAGACCTCCTTTCATTATAAACCGGGATACTAGAAATTCCAATCTTACACAGTTGTTAGTAGAACCCAGTGATTTAAAAGCTGTAAATCATCTAGAATGTGACACGTAGGAAGCACTTAGAATGTTAGCTCTTCCTTGGCATAGCTCGTGCTTGCCACAGACATCTAGAGAGTACGTGTTGAATGCGTGAGTGAGTGCAGGGCATCATCTCTTGCTTCTCTGCACCTGCTTGTTCCTCACCTCAGAGCTTCCTTCCATTACTTGCTAGACAACCATGTTTTATGGCTTTAACTAAACAGACCAGCAGTTAGGTGTGGGGAGAAATGTGGCCTGCTCTTATGAAATACGTGTTTTGTTGTAGGTTCGGACAAGTGGACTTCCCTAGAAAGAAAACTGTTTAATAAAGCACTAGCCACTTACAACAAAGACTTTATTTTTGTACAGAAGATGGTAAGTATGATTTTTCCCATTGTTCACTTGAAGTCAAATTTCAAACTTTGAATATGTAGAAATACCTAAAAGCTCTTGGTACTTGAGTTGACATCCTGACAAAGAGGCTGTCTCTGTTCTCACTGGTAAAGGGTCATAGTTGTTATAGGGGTGGCCTGAGTGTCTGGTTGTAGGGGGAAGTGAGAGCAGAAAAGAAGACATAGGTTGTTTGGATGCTATAGTGTTGGGGTTTCTATCTTAATAAAAATGTATAATTCATAATTCTGCCAGAATAACTAGAGCTTTAGAATAGCTAGAGCCGGGGCTTCTAGTCTATAATTTGCATAATTTATATCATTATATTTGACAGATCTATCATGTTTTTGACAGAACTTTTCTGGGAAATTGTAGAGAGGAGGACACATGACCTCCCCCTATCCTATAATGAAGGTTCTTGAATTAGGCCCCTAATCATGATGACAGTAATAATATAAATAATACCTTATATATGTAGCATTTTGTGGCAAAATAAAACTTTCCTATAAAGTCATACTTTATGGAACAAATAAGATTAATAGGCTTTCATTGGCTGAGAGATGGTATAGGCTAAAAAGCTAAAATATTCAGAATATCTCACCAAGCTGATGAATGATGTGCTATATTGATTATGCAAGATAATTCAGAATGTGCAAGTATATGAAGAACAGAGTCATGGTGACAACTTCCATGGAAACTGCTTGGTCCTCAGTGGCGTCCCAGGGTGGGGTATCTCCTGCTAATTCAAGTCATAGCCTGGATGAACATAGAAATGAGTGGATTTATCTCTGACTTGCCTCCACCTCTGCTCTTGCCTTTCCACGCCTCTGTGGTCTCCACACAGAGAAATGCTAACCTCTGTTGAGTTACCTTTCCCCTAGGTTCAACCTGGTGTCTTAGCTATTTGTTACTATAACATACTACTCAAAACTTGGTAACTTTGTAAAGAAAAAGGGGGCCGGTGAAATAGCTCAGCAAACTAAGGCACCTGCTTAGGCAAACTTAAGCAAAGTGTGGGGACCGTGGTTCGATTCCTAGCACCACATGCCACACCTGCCACGCCCCCAGGACAGGCTGCACTGGCCAGAGTCCAGGCATGGAGGTGGCACATGCCTGTAATCCCAGAACTGGGGAGGCTGAAAGCAGGAGGATCGCCATGAATCCGAGCTGCATAGTGAAACCCTGTAACAACAACCAAATACATTAAAAAATAATAAAATAAAAAAGGTTTCTTCAGCTCATTGTTTGGGGGCCAAAAGTCCAAGATCAGACAGCCTATGCTACAGCCTCTTAAGAGCCCAGTGGCAGGTGGCATGGTAGGAACATACGCAGAAGTGCGCTGTTGTGTCCTGAGACAGAGCTCTTTAGGGGCTGGTTCACTCTTATAACAACCTGCTCTCTGGAGAGCCACCTCCCTCCCTCCCTCCCAGGAAGCACCCTTGGTGACCTGAAGATCCCCCACTGAGCCTCAGCTTCTGAAGGCTTTGTACTTCTTAGTGCCGCCACCCCAGGAACTCAGCTCATGGAACTTTGGAGAACAAACCGCATCCATCCACCTGGTCCCTGCCTCATTCCTTGAAGGACCTACACCTGATGGCCATAATGAACTCACGTTTCAGGCAATGCAGATATTTGAACAAGGACACTCTGGGGCTGCGTCCTCACTCCTAGGGTACCCAGTGTAGAAATTCCAGGCATCAGGCGGACTTTTTTTTTTTTTGACTGAATTTTGTATTTATTTATTTATTTATTTATTTATTTATTTATTTATTTATTTATTTATTTATTTTGCGGA